AAAGGGCCTTAGATAACAGGCTTCGTTGAGTCGGATGGGTGCCCCAAGAACGACCTTCACTAGAATAGGTGAAAACATAGAAAGTGACTATATAAAACCATGGTGCAAATGTTGCGGGACCTGGCAACATCTTGGCAACAAACTCTTCATGGGTGAACTCTTCCTGGATCCATCTACCCTCATGGTTGTGGTAAAGGAGATCAGTCGAAATCCGACAGATACTGCACTGCATTTGAAGCATGTGGAGCGTCCATTCCAGCTTGCATTGGTCCGCCAGATTCGGCAATGGAACTCCCAGTCCCCCCTGACTTCTATCAATTGAAATTGACGTCCATCAGAGACTATAGGTGTTCCCGCACGCTTGAGCTCCTGGCTAGTTAACGGAACGCCCCCTGGTCCAGATGTCGGGTTCATGCCCACATACAAGCAGTTGAGGGACCAGGCCACTATTCGTAGTATCCGGTTGATGGTTCTGCCCTCACTGAGTAGTAGCGAGCAATCGCAGCTCCAAATCAGGAAACGGCTGTACCGCACAGGCTTCGGTCGCCATATTGGGAAATTGAGGAATAGGCAGATTTGCTTTTCCTAAGAAGAAAGCAAGCTGAGATATATACAAAGCGAAACATTATTGATATAAAACATATATCATGGAGGGGTGTGAATAAGCAGGGGTGCAACTCGACTCAGCCTAGTTTCTTTTCTATATCTCGTTACCAGCTGTGCAGCATCGCCATATAAGGAGGGCATATTTTCGTGGGATATATCTTTTTTTTTTGGTGGGATACTTTTTTTTTTTTAGGGCTCTGGAAGGAAGGAAGGAAGGAAGGACGGAAGGAGGGAAGGAGGGAGGGAAGGAGGGAGGGAAGGAGGGAAGGAGGGAAGGAGGGAAGGAGGGAGGCAAGAAAGACAAAATAACAAAGAAAGGACAAAAAGGAAGATAAGCAATAGAGCTAAGCAGAAAAGAGAAAGAACTTAGTGGGCTGGTTAACTTGTCAATCATAATACATACCTGGAAGCATTAGCTGTGTGTGCTCATGGGGGGGAGGCGCTGCTCCCTCCCCCCCAACCCCCCTCCCGCTTATTTTTTAAAATTTAGGCTGTTGCTACAGCATGCCAAAGACAAACTAAGAAAACAACCAAGCATTAGCAACCAAAGCATTTGTCCCTCCAACCCGTAGCAGAAGTTAATGGAAGATCACCATGGAAAACAAAATGTCACCAGGGAAGGGAAAGGTAAAAGGAAATGGAAAGGAAAATGTAAAGGAAAGGGAAGGGGAAAGGGAAAGGGAAAAGGGAAAGGAAAGGGAAAAGGGAATGGACAAGGAAAGGGAAAGGGAAAGGGAATGGAAAAGGAATCAGAAGACGCAAAAAAAAAGTCCCATTAAAAAAACAAAAAAATATCCCGCTAAAAACCTGCAGCCGCCATATAAGCCAAGCGGAACTTTGTCACGGCATTCAGCAGTTGCAAAAGGTTCACCAACACGTAGTGCATTATCCCAGAATCGATGCACCTAGAAAACACATGCATAGGCTACTAGTATTTCACTTCTAATAAACTAATATTATGTGGGATCAAGGTACTGCTTCTTCACCTTGGCAATGTCACCACAAAAACACGATCAAAGCAACGTGTTTTAAATACACAAGTTGTTTTGGTTGCAAACATGTGCAGGCCTAAAATCCTCTATTCGAGAAAAGTCACTGATTTGCATCTTTGCATGGTTGAACAGATAATGAACGACTCGATGCGGATACAGAATCGGTTGCTTCTCATGCCGGAAGCCGTGAGGACTTTTGGCATCCAAAACTGGAACTGACACATACGCAATCTCCTGCAGAGATTCACCAGGCACAGTGTTGCAAGCTAGCTAGCACATATTATATAATATTGTGAATTGAGAGTTGCAAGCTAGCTACCACATCCATATCATGGAATCGCCAAAAATCTCGTGCATCATTGTGCCCGGATTTCTTTGCTAGACGAACAGCGCCATCATGAGCAGCCCCCTTGCTCTCCTGGAAGCAGGATTAATCATGGTTGATCAACAATTCCAACACTGGTTGCAAGGATTCCAAAGTATATTGTACCGAGTCAAAAAATTCAATTTCACATGCATCCAGGAAGATCGCCATACAATTACCTAGCTTTGTCAGGTACAAAGCAACAAGACACTGACTTTTGTTCCGGTCCCTCAGTGCATATAACCACGCCCGAGGCTCCTGAACATGAGCCCTGATGCGTTTCATCGCTGCATGGATGGACGTCGCCTCAGGGGAAGGTGTTGAAGGTGGGATCGATACAAATGCTATATTATATATTGTTCGATTCTGTTATGTTCTAGGACTACGCCAAGTCGCCCCTCCACTGACATCTTCCATAGCATTTTGAAGCATTGGTTCGTCTTGGGTACTTCCTGCGAGGGGCCAAATATCAATCAACTTAAGTGGGCAAATGCAAGTGCACATGCATGAACAAATATAACGTACTAGATGAGTACTCGACTGCCTGAAAGCCTCCAAATTCTTTTTGAGCAGCTACCACAATCGCAGTGTTCTCACTACGCAGCAGGCGATATATCACATAGTCCCCTTCATCCACACAAGGGCCGGTGCACTTCAGCGCATCACGAAAACAGGTTCATTCGACACGATCGAAGAGGAATGTTGTGGGTGCGGTTTTGTGATGTTTTGCACATGCATGATTGATAATTGATCCATCTAGATCTAGATATCTCAAACGACTCTCGCTGAAGTTGCCCCTGATGGAATTTAAACCCCATGATTCTTGATAAATCAGTTTCCCAGGTCAACTAAGACGCAAGTCATTGCAGCATTTGTTTCACATGACTGCATCACATGGCTAGGAAAAACCACTGGCGTTGCTCACTCGATTCAATTCACTTCAGGTTCATTTTGTTCAAAAAGGTCTTGAGCTCTATGCAATGCTTCTCCACAGCGATCACCATGTCATCCAACACGGAACTCTTGGCAACGTTGGAAGCCTGTATTCACGTGAAAGTGAAATGAATTAACACCCCCTGAAAAAGCAAAGACCACGCGCGATCTCGAATTCGAACGATGTGCAATCGTAAAGCCTGGACCCGACTGATCTCCATCAACAACTTGTCTCGACACGATGTCAAGGACTTCTTGATCGGCTTCAGCTCTGCCATCACCGCAGCAGACATGTCTGCAGACCTGAGAGTCCGGCATGCCCAGCTGTGTTTAAAGAAACACTGCACAGGACACCATGGATGTATTTCAAATAGAGTTGATGTCCCAGATGATTTGTGGCATGCCGCAACCATCAGTCAATGCATGGGTAGCGTTCACAGTCTTTGATTGAGGTCTCAACATGTTCGATGCTTTCACCTCCACTGCAGAGGCCTTTGCGATGCTGCCGTTGATCTGCGAAAGGGCCTGACATTTTTTGCAAACGTTTATGATAAACAAAACGTATATATCATCAGCAGATTTTGTTTGATCATGTTCATTATACAAGTATATAGTTTGTTTGATCATGTTCATTATAAAAGTAATATGATCTAGTGCCACGAAAAATTATAGTCTAATATATTACCTGCCTTGTTCCCGCTTGAAACCAATTTCCGCGTAGCTTCCTTAGCAGCCTTCTCCTTTGCTTGCTTTTCTTCTTTCTCCCTTTTCTCTTTGTTTTTCTTTTCTTCTTTGTCTTTCGCTTCCTGTTCCTTCTTCTCACGAGCTTCCTTCTGCTTAGCTGTCTCAGCCTTCTCAACCTTATCCTTGTTACCCTTGGTCTTCTTTTTTGTCTTTTTCTTTGCAGCCTATCGACTCACGACATGATGTACTGTCACAATCTTGGAAATTTAAGATGATGAATTTAGTCGTACGTGGATGTGACATATTTAGATTTATGCAAAATAATAATTGATACATCGTTTGATGAAGGAGACATATACATATAGCCTTGGACGATGAAGAAGACAAAACCACAGATGATGAAGAACTGGACTGAGATGATGTCGAAGTTGAGGAGGTTGAACGCTTACGCTTCTTGGAATGCTTCTTTGAGGTCTTCTTATCATGTTTTTTCTTCTTGTGTTTCTCGCTTTTCTTTGTCTCTTGTGCACATGACCTGTCAACGGCTTCAAACAACGATGTTGTGACCAAATCCTCTGTTGTCTCCTCTGCATCCACATCCCACACGAGGTATTGTCTCAGTTCCTGAGCTTGCAATATATTTATTTAGTAGTAGTATTGTCGGGGCAACACAAGCTGCTGGAACACCCGGTGCGTCCGGGTGGTCACGTATTTGAGACGCTGCAATATCTGGGTCCGCTTCCTTGCTCAGCTTGATTTTGTTTGCGATATCAGAACTTCCGTACCTGACACTTATCTCATGCAATGTCATCCATCTGCGGCTTCCGGTTTTGCGGAACCGCTTTTCCTGCAACAGCTTCATGTAGAAGTCGCTGGCCGACCATTGGCCGTTGCATCCTGTCCATTGTTCCAGCAAGATCTGCAGCTTCGGGCTGCCTTGGCGGGTAACGGATCGCACAGCCGCATAGCACCGGAAGACCGACGAAGAAGCTGTTGGAGGCTCTGGATAGGGTGGGTCATCATTGCAACATGAGCCGTGGAGGCCAAAAGCTGTCTCCGGATTTGCCTGAGACTCTGGAAGGCGTCAGGACACCGATTAGAATCGTTTGCTTACAGGACCCGCATTCTCACTTCAAAGAGATGAATATATGGTCCCATTGCGGAAGCTACAAAAGTCAGACCGTTGGATAACGTTATTGGATAACTCTTATATCCGCACTTCTTCGTGATTGGCTTGAGTTCCCAAATGCTCATTGATGGAGTATGCCAAGCTTGCTAGTTCCACCGTGTCCTCTTCCCTGACATGCATGCAAGGCACGAAAGCATTCAGAGCTTTGAGAAGAAAACACCTTGAGTTGCTGCTGTTTGGAGTTTGGGTGGTGAGGGTCAAGGCTTTTTCTTCTCATAGGATACTTGACTTGGGGCAATGGAATAATTGAACCCCGAGAGTACTTCTGGATAGCCGCAGTATTACTCACTTCCTCAGCTTCCTTCCCCTCGAATCCCTCCTCAAGGATCCTTCGTGCCTGTGGCTTCACACGCCCGCGGGAAAGGCTCAGGAGCTTTTCAGCGAGCTCGGTCCGTGCCCACTGAGAGCACAAGGCGTAGCTTTCTCCATGGCGACGAGCGATTCGGAGGAGAAACAGCTTCTGCAGTCCAGAGAGGCAAGAAAGACCTAGGGCACTGGGACGCTGGTGTAGATACGGAGAGCTTTTTTCAGGTCACTAGATGCTTCCCCAAAGGTTGATGCCTGGAAAGGTTTGTGGCTCATGGTGACTCATGGTGGCAAAATATGTTCAGATATGGAGAGGGCGATGGAGAGCGAGAGGGAGAGAGAGATAACATATATATATATATATACACACTTTGCTTTACATATGATACATATTATTCATAGACTAGTTATATCTTCTTTTTTCAGCCTGGCACCCCGCAGGCGACAGTCTCAGCGGCCGAAGATTCATCATGCAATTGGGCAGTGATTCTGGGAACGCTTCTGGCAATAGGTGCGCTGGTGAGTTTGTTTGTGGTGATCTTCAGTGCATTTGTGACCCTTTGGTTGTGGCCAATCTTGGGGGTTCTTCTCCTCGTTGGTCATGGCCTACTTCTTTTTGCCGTTGCTGGCTCACAAACAACACTCGCAACGCCGGCAAAGCTCTCTGCCGCAGCGCTCTGCCTTGAAGTCTTGTGCTATGTCTTCTTGGTGCCGACCTACCTCTTTCGTTCCTTCATTGTACCCTGGTGGTGGTGGAATGCTTCAGTGATCCTGTTCGTACTGCCAGCATTGATCTTGCTATGGGTGACCATTCGCCAGTCCCTGTGTGGCACAACCGTGGAGAAGTGCTCGGCAGGGGGTCTCGTTGTGATCTCCCTGGTCATCCTTCTAGTTGGAGCGCTGCTTCTTGTTGCAGGGAACTTCTCTCCTACCCGGCTCTTGATGACACTGCCCTCATCGCGATTGGTGGAAGAGATCCAAACAATTCGTGATTATGTGCAAATGTCCAGTGCTAAATTGGATGCGACGGTGGGATATGAGATTTGTGACATGGCCACCTCCGAGTGTAGCATGAAGAAGTTCGTCGGTTGGACTGTGGAGCGCCGCGGGTTTGAGTAGTTTTCAAGCACACGAGTAGCGCTCTTTTTCTGGTCGGTGAAAGGCATCCCAAAAAAGAAACCAGACTGTCAGGTGGAGCTACTGCTTGCCTAGATGGAGACTTTGCATTCGTAGTCTATCCTGGTGATCCTGGCAGACTCCTTTTCCATTTGCATGGTGGAGGCGCTTGCTGGAACTGGATGACCTTCCTCCTGGGCAAGTGCACCAAGCAGGCCACCACGAGGCCGACGGGCATCTTGAACGTGACCAACCCAAATAACCCCTTCTACAACTGGACCTTGGTTGATGTGCCGTACTGCTCAGGGGACGTGTTTAGCGGTGCGACGGAGAACTTCTGGATCATGCCACAGCAAACGGCCAGTGCTTGGAAGTCTCAGGCAGGATACGCCAACGTGAACGCGATTCTGGACTGGGTCAAGGTCCAGTTTGCTGGAGCTGTGCCAGCCTTGAGGACAACTTGTAGCCGGAGTGGGGCGCAGTTTCATTCATAGTGTAGAACCTACCATGGTGCACAGGCCCTTTTTCATGTGCCACATTATGCGCACCACCGTAGAAGAACAGCTACGTGAGATAGCGCCTCGATGCCCCAGAAAAGCAGTAAGAACTCACGTGTCTTTGGACATACCACTGTCATACTTAATTGTATGTACAGTATATATATATATATTTTGTGTTTGTTCCTACTGTAATACCTATTTGTTTGCCCCCTCAAATGCGCTCAATTTTTCCTAATGACTCTAATCGTTTGCAGACTTGGCCCTGGTATCTTTGCAAAATCTGTGTTCCTCAGATTGTTGGTCACTTAAACTTTGTTCCGCTGTTCTTCTGGGCACAGGTCGAGGCGAGAATTCATATCCTGCGCAGCATGTCTTTCCCATCGAGCCCACACTCCTGCAGGACTCTTTCCAAGTTCGTGGTGGCAGGTGAGTCCGCCGGCAGTTTGGGAGTTCAGCTTTGGGCCACTAACCTTCTACGTCGGCTGGAGAGCCACTATGAGCCTGAGAACACCATCCTGATTGGGGATTCTTTTGTGGGGACCACCCCAGGAGACATGGATCTACTTCAACGTCAGGTGATGGAGTTTTGGGGCGTTTGCCAGTCTGGTGTGGTTCCTGAGGAACTGGAGCCAAAGTGTACACCAGACCGCCTGGTCATGACAGACTTCCCAGAGACCACCATGCAGCTGTTCCCCTCAGTCCGCTACATGATGATCAGCAGCAAATTCGATCAGGTTCAAATGGCATTCGGCGATCTTGTGATTCATTATGACTACCTATGGACTGTGCTTTGGAAAGGCCGTGATAGCATACCGCATTTTACCACGAAAACTTTCTACGAGCAACTCAGTGGGTACTTACTGGTATACTCGGCCTACAAGCAGTTCTCCGCATACCTCGTGGGTGCCAAACAGCATACCTACACAATCTGGCCTCTCTTCTTCATTCGGAGCACTACTCCTGCTGGGCCATCTGATGATTGTAGCAGCCCAGATGTGGGGGAGCGTTTGCTCGATTGGCTCAGCCCGTATAGTGAGGAGAAGGCACCATACCAATGCTACAACACTGAAGAGGACGCCCCAAATTGGACTGCACATTACTGCGATTACCAGTTGCCATGGCAAGTTGGAAGATGCGAACCCAGCAACTAGTGAGCGCGGAGTGCAGGTGCTCATGAGCTGCAATTGCTCAAGTTCGAGCCAGCGCAGCCGCAGCCTGATGCAGCACGTTGGTACAGGAATGTTCCGGATCGAGGCCGGAGGAATTCGTGCAGCTAGCTAGACGGAAGCACTGCAAGATACACTGGGAGCAATTTATAGATTGCAGATAGGATCAGCAATCAATCGGGCCCAAAAAATCGTTGGTACCAGGGATTTGTGGAGCAGACTAGACTGAGTATTGTTGTTCGCCCCATGTGTTTTCGGTGATGGTGTTGTCTCAGCAGCTGCACTCTCCACTTTAGCTACGGCCATAGCCCGTGCCTCCTCAAGGGTGCCAGGCTCTGTTGAAGCAGAGCTGACTCCTGCCAACGAAACAAATATTAATATATCTTATTATAACATGTGCCACTCAACCACGGGCAATGTAAACAACACATGAAAGTGGCCTCGTTCAAGCTTGGCCCTTTGCAGTTCTTGTTTGAGTCTCTTTGAGCTCTTTGGATGGTTCTCCAGAAGCCTACCAGTCCAAGAAAGATCTAACTGGTTCACATCGATACATCATCACGCATGCATGGATCATTGATAATGAATTTAACACATATATAGCGTGGTGTGCCTTGACTTCTCCTTTGCTTTCTTTAAGGCTTGATCACGCTGCGAAAGTGCGGCATCATCCCCGTCATCCCCTTTCCTAGCATCCTCCTTTGCTGGCCTTGCTGCCCTATCAGCTGCCCGTTGAAGCGCACGGGCTGCAGCCTTTGTGTTTTTCCCATCGCACCTACACCTACGCCAGTTTGATCCACTTATACACACCCAGGTAGCCCGCATAATGACACGCCAGTGCAAGCCCAACAACCTGATATATGTGTGTTCTTTCCACAGGCGATGATTATTGAAAAACAACCAAAAAAAGAAAAAAATCAAAAAAACTGAAAATATAGTGATTTGTGGTGGTTTTTTGCTAATGTAGGTTCACGCTGAGAATCGTAGGTTCACGCTCATTCACGGTCTATTCACGGTCATTCACGGTCCATTCACGCTAGCCTTCCCGATGTTTTGCTCTTAATAGCTTCCAGCTGGAAATCCAGCGGTGGTGGTGTCCATTAATTTGAATTAATTGTTCGCACACGTGCTCGCGCAATTGCCAGTCTTCTTAATGACAAGCTCCGCACATGTGTACATAGTGCAAACTTCCAAAACCCATTCACACATCCAAGCCCTCTTCGAAGGCAGGTGTGAACCTTCCCTCCTGGCATTCATGCTCCAAGAAGGATTTCACATCCTTCATGGACGCATGCCTCCATTTATAGGGGGCCTGACCGGTTGCATTCCAACACAATACACACAGTAATTACACATCTACATGTGGAACCTTATTGAGACTGCTCGAGTTTCAGTTTTTGCGTGCAGGCCGACCGGGCATGCGGGTGCTGGCCTTCGCCACAACATCTCCAGGCTTGACCGTGTTGAACTTGGTGCGAATCGGATTGCTGGTCACGTTCTTTGCCTGGGCCACGGCTGAGCCATGATTGTGTATTTTTTGTTTGGTGGCCATGCATGGGATAGGAGGCAATGGTTTTTAGATAACCTGAGGTCAGTGCCAAGAAGGCTTTATGGAGTTTTGCAAAGCGTAGTCCATATGCTTTTGGGTAGATCTGGGACTGTTTCAATCCTTTCCCACCTCGCCTGAGCATGACTAGGAATTGAAAGTATCCAAGACCTGCCCCACCTGTGAGGTGCACTGCAAAACAATAAATCAAATATAGAAATTTTATAACTCTCTATCGATAATATATCTAGGTAGGCCCTGGACACAGATACTTTGCCAGAAGCCGATACCGTGCGAATGACCATTTGCATACCTTTTCTTTCGGCTTTCTCCTTGTACTTCTCAATTCGGGCACGGTCCCCGGCAGTGAGCTGCTTCCTCATCTTGGGAATGAGAGGCCTGAGGACACGGTCCCATATTATCAGATTAATCGGTTTTAAATCATGTGGAACTGTCAGTTCACTCGATCATGTGAGCCCCCCGGCCATGTTCCAAACAGACGGGTGGGCTTCATGGTCTTCGCACCATACACAGCCATGCAACTGGGCAGGTCGAGTTGTCGTGTAACAATATTCATATATACGCGGTGTGCGTGCATACAAGAAACTCAGTTCCCTGAGATGCCCACAAGCTTGTTGTTTTCCACAAATTCCCCAACATGGATTCCAAAAAGGTCACGTAGGGGAAGTGCTTCATCACTGAACTCGACGGTTGTTCACAAACGAAAAAGGCACCACGGACAGTAGCTAATATTAAAATCATTACCAATCGAGTTGTAATCCTTGGTTTGTCGATCCAAGCAAATGCACGATGATCGAAAGGCTGTTCATTGGTTCCACTTTCACAAGAGCTGATGATATTCTTGATCCCTCGTGTTTGGGGGCTTGCTCAGCTACCAGGGGTTTGACCTGACAAGCATCTTGCAATTATTTGCAAGACTACTGAGAGACAAAAGTGCTGAGCAAAACATTGCTGTTTGGCCAGCTATAGGTTGCTTGACCACTGGATGAGTGAATGTGCGCTCTGACAAAAACATGGGGAACACCCCATTATTGCTCGTCGCATAAAATGTCGTCATCAAAATGAGCCTAAATGAAATCACTTAAAAATCTTAAAACTACATGTGTGTGGGACCCCGATATTGCCTCAATGACTGAGATCCTTTGTATCTATGCTCAGTACAGGTAAGTAGAATCGGAAGAACCTTAGAATCTGATCAGCTTTACAAATCTAGCTGAACATTTGGAAGGAGCATGCCAGTGTTTGTATAAACTTCAAATCATGTTTGAAGTACAGGGGAAAAGGAATTGACTTGAAATGTGGGAAACCTCAGGGGTGTCCGTACATTTTTTTCGGGTTCCCCGCTGGCCGGCGCCGGGCTGGGTGGCTCAAGTGCCCTATGTGGGACAAATGTCAGGGGCCCAGAATCGCACTATGTTGGACTTGAAATATGTTGTTGAGCCACCTTGCGCCCACCCCCACCGCTGCCGCAGCCAAAGGTTTTGGCGTGGCAACATTGGTCACCTCAGCCCGGAAGGCAGGGTGGGGTAGAGTAGATGCGTGCTCGGGCAAGAGGTGTTGATACTGCATCTATCATGATGGCCAGAAGTTGTTTTCGTGGTGGGTTCTCTTCAGGGTTGTTTCGCGTGACTTTGCTCCAGGCAGTGATGCCACCTTCAATGTGTGGAGCCCTGATGAGATCAACGGGACTTCAAACCGTTGAGCCCAGGGTTGTAAGTAGTCATGTTCTTTCATGAAACCTATCATGAATCGAAGGGTTTTCATTTGATCTTTTTCATATGAGTTGCAGGTTCATGCATTTCGCAAAGCACTGAACTCGCACACGCCCCGCTTTATCTCAAACCTTTGGATTCTCCAAGCTGCCGGGTGTAAGGCTGGATTTGGTTCCCAGCGTCAAGTCATGTGCACTTAGTCCAGAACACTTTACGGTTTGCTCGCCAGGGCGCCACGCTGGGGCTGGTGCTTTGGTACTACCCGGAGGCCAGAGACCTCAGGAGGCTTGGTCTTTGGATATCTCTTGCGGTGCCTCATCCTAGGTTTGGGATGTCCAGCCACCAGGACTCAGATCTTTAGCCAAGGGATTGAGACACTTTGAACACTGAAATTTCAATTGGCATTTTGGAGGAGAGCTCTAATAGAACCATGTCTCGATCCCGGACCCCAACCAGAGGAGAAATTATCGTCTGGCCTTCAGACTGCTCCTGTTCACACAAGATTTAGCTAACCACTAGCAACCACTTCTGATTCCTGATGAGGAAATTCATCATTCTGTTCCTGGCCCTGCTTCTCCAAAGATCCGGCGGAAGGTCCGATAGGGTGCTTTTCATTCATGCCTGCTGGGCAGTATAGAGTGCTGTTCACCCCATTTCACTGCAGAATGCGATCCGCAATTGGTCTCGAGCGTTTTGCCCTGAGCATTGGCATAGTTTTACAAACCTCATGTGATTTGTTTTTGCTTCTCAGGACTCAAGGCATCGATCTCCCGCGGCCAAAGGACAAGTTCGACGCGATGTCACCCGAAAGTTTGCGAAGGATTGGGGTTCATGATTGCGAAAGTTTTCATGTTTGCCATGCCATTGTTTCCACAAACATCGGAGTCTATGAGGACAGCCCGGGGCTTGCAATCACGACTTGATGAGCTTGGGGCTCAGTTCAAACACCATCTTGCTGGATTTGTTTTCCTCCTGAGTCAAATTCGTTGGGATGTTAATAATCCACAGGATGGACGTTATTTTGAAGTGGGCCAACTACCCTGCATCCTATAGTCAGGTCCTCGGCCTCCCAGTGCCAGTACACAAATTTAGAAAGATGTTCGGAAGTGGTTGAAAGTGCCACAGCCCACAAGTTTGCCAAGGACCTGCGGGCCTCACATGACGATTTGAGCTGCGCGGTCCTGGAACGTGCGTTCGAAATGGGGAAAACAAGTCATCCAGGGTGACTTGAACTGAGGAACACAAACACCACAAAGGAAGTTTTACAGTAGCCTAGTTTTGCACTTGGCATGCTTAGCTTTGTTTTGCTTGAGTACATTTTGGTCCCAGTGCTTTAAGATGCACTTGTGATGCCCCTTGCTGACGTGGACCACCTCAGTGAGCCAGATCCTCAATCAAACTCTAATCAAAAGTGAGCGAACGTTAAATGGTTTCCTCAATCGATCCCTAATCGTTGTGTTTCCATTGGATCTCTTTTCCTAAGTTGCGAGCCCCTCGAAGAAGCTATGAAAAAGCCATCGACGGCAAAGGCTATGGTCATGCACATTTATTGCAAACCTTTTTCTATTCCTATGCCAGGTGCCCAAGACCTTCAAGCCGACCCCGAAGTTTGGGCGCCTCAAGCTCGATGGGACTGTCGATGCTTTCAAGCCTGGGAGCTGGCCATTTCGGCCAAGAAAGAAACTGGTTATCAAGTTGGTGACTGGGCCAAACTCATTTAACATGTGGGTGGCTTCAACTTGCTAGATTCGTGTATGAGTCTTTCTTAGAACTTTCTGCGTGTTCCTGAAGTACATGAGTGAGTCTGCTATTTTTGAGGATGTGAAGAAGCCACGGAAGGATGCCAAACTCCCTCGTAAAGGGAAGCTGGTTTGCGGCAAATCCCTGACATTGTCAGGGTTCGGCACGATCCGCCACAGCCCCACTCTGACATCTCACATGTTCTCTGCGACCCCCAGCCTTGCCAAGGCTGCTTTTCAGCAACGACGCAAGCCAACACGAAGTTCCTCTCAGTCAGGGGCAGTCGTGACAGGGTTTATGTACCTCTGATTCTTGTCGCCAGGTAAGGAGTTTATCTATTCTATCTATTATATACCAAATCGACTATGCCTCTATTCTATACCTATTGTAGTGTAAATAGATACTAGTCGATTTATATTAAACATTTGATGTTGCTTTCAGTCCAGGACTTTGCGACCCAAGTGTTCCATTGGGTTGACTATAAGAAGGCAGTTCGAGATGCCCAGCAAGTCCCCGGCAAATTTGTCACCCCAGAGCTCGGCGAGTGGCTCCATGGTCCAGGACTCACCCACAGTCCAAAGTTCATAAACCCTTTAGACAATTTTTCTATGCTCAGGCATCCCTTTGGGCTGGTCTAACCCTGAACCGGACAGTGTTCAACAAGACCCGAAGCTGACTTTGCCCTGGCTCACCTCTTGCGTTGGCTCGCCATGTTTGTCGTTGTTCTTAGTTTACCAACCTTGCCACTGACAAGCGGTTTGTACTTATCATTAGTGTTTTGCTTCTGCTTTGCCAGCCGCACCGATATCGCGTGGTGAGCCTCTTTGCCGGCATCCTTGGCCTGGATCTAGGCCTGTCGCGGCCAAGTGCTCAGTGAAAGGTTTTCCTGGTCATTTCTGGGTCCAGTCTCTGTTACTTTTGATGTTCAAGGTGGGTCCACTCCATTGGATTTGTATGGGCCCTAAATGAATCTTCAAAAGTGCACCCTCTCAATACCACCTCATTTCATAGTTGCGCGTGCGAGGTTGAGAACAACCCCTACTGCAGGAAGGTGATTGCTTCCAGGATCCAAGATGGCTTCTTCAACAAGGATTCGGTGGTGCATGATGATGTCACCACCTTTAAGATGTCACAGGTGGAACATTTGTCTCCCGATGGTCTCATTGGTGGATGGCCATGCCAGGCACAACCATTTCCCAACCCACAACTTTCACTGTCAAAATGTTTCCAACAAAACACATGTTTCAGTGAAAGATTCAATCCAGTACCTTGCAGGGTGCTTCAAAGGCAGGCAAGAAGCTGGCTCTCAAAGACAAGCGAACCGCTTTGCTCACTGAAATCTTTCGGCTTTGGGATTCTGCACCCTATCTGATCCCAACCTGCATGTTAATACATGTGCATTTTTCAACCATTCGCAACGTGTGGGCTTCTATGCGCAACGCGCTTCTCCCCAGGAAATTTATGATCTTGGAGAACGTGGGAAATGTGCTGGGCAAAGATATGGTGGAGATCCTCGAGTACATCAAGCAGGACTTTTACACACACAACAATAAGCTGATTTCACATCTTGTATGGAAGGTTTCAGGGTTGATACTTTCACACTTCCGGAAGGCTGCCATGCGGCGTTGTCTTGATCTGCGCTGGGCCTCTGTGACTGGCCACATGGTTGGAGCGCCAGCTTGGTCCTCAGTGATCTTTTGGCTTGAGACTCTCTAAATTGTAGACTGGTGCACTAGGTATGGAGGGAGCGGACCTTCTTCATGTTTCGCCGCGTTGGCTTCATCTTCTTCAAGGTACTTGACATTTCAGTTTAATTTCAAAGTATTCAATGCCTTTGCAGGCCATGCCGTATGTGGTCCCCAACGAGGACTTGAAGACTTGGCCCCAGAATGATTGGAGTGAGTCTGTAAAGCCACCCCTGAAGTCCTGGTTGGCCACCTCCAGCACGCCGCTGGCACGAGACCGCCTCAAGGCTGTTGGGAACTTGGTGATGCCCAGGGTGGCATACATGGCTGTGAATATCATTGGCCATCATCACCTTGAGGAAGGGGAACCCTCGCTAAACGCTGGGCTCATGTTTCTTCTATTCAAAATTCAAGCCATGCTAATATTGGCTTGGTTAGATAGATCCTGTTAGATCGCACTCGTGCTTGCTTGGGTGGCGGGAAATCACAGACAGTCTTTGCGCAAGGTCTTCTAGTGTATTTGAAGCCCACCACAGGCGGTGCATCACACATGTTTCAACCGTGTATTGTGAATGCGTGGGCACAGCAGTCTTTTTTCCGTTTGGCCTCCTCGCCTCCTGCTCGGCCTCCTGGTGGTGCTGGCATGATTGAAGCCTCGCCATTCAATCATATTTGCATCGTGCGCTGTGTGTTTTCCAATGTTTTCCAGTCCAAGTCATTCAAGAGAGGTTGACAGGACATGAGACCACAGGTCAAACAAGAACAATCTTATTTCCACTCCTGTCTACCTCCATTGGTTCTCGCAAATCCGACTTGCTGTTGCAGTTGCTTGGGGGGGAGGTTCACTCCGAAGTGCAGGCTTGATATAAATATAAGCTATCACTCATTCTTGCGCAACAATCTTCGAACTAGGTCGAAGCACCATCCACAAATGTAACAAGTGTGCTGCGTTGACAGTGGGTACCCAAGACTCAAGACCCAACAGCAACATTATACCTAACGAATATAACATAAGGAAACTAAGAACAACATCTTCTACATACTCGGCGTCACTCGGCTTTGCTATGGTCCACTGGTGATGTTGGTCCACTTGTCATCGAGCTTGTTGCCATGAGCTTAGTCAGTAAGTACCTTTACTGAGACTCGGGCTTGAACTTGCTTCCCCATCTTCTCTCCTGTAGGTCAGTGATTGGAAGACCTTTCCTCTTCGCTGAGAGGCTCGGATTGGGATCAAAACACCTCTTTGTTATGTCTCTACCAAAATAGCTTTTGAAAATGAATTGTGGATGTTGCTCACCCAGCACTTTCCCAAAAGGACCAGTTTGGATCCAAATGTCCATTCCGTTGCAAGACATATCTGTTCTCAGTGATGACGACGACGGCCATGCCATCTGTCACCCAGCCTCCGAGAGCGGCAGGGTTGCCAAGCGCCAGCCTGCCAAAAGAAAGGTCGAGGTGACACGGACCATGGTGGATCTCAGACCGAATGTGCAAGCCTTGAGAAAAAGGGTGGATGGACAATGTGGCTGCCTATGCCAATGCTTCAAGCCTTTTCGGGAATCTGCAACCTTTGATGAATTGACCAAGGTTCGTACCCAAATGGGATTGCTCGACAAACTTGACCAGGACAATTTTGCTTTCTCCTTAGATTAGATATCCTCGCCTCCAATGGTCTCTGTTTATGGCTTGGCTTGCGGGCTGACCAGGATGCCGGGGCTCTCGGAGCCTGACCCTGCTTGACCATCCCATTTGCAACCGAGGGTTCATGCGCCTCCTTTCTATTGGTAAACACAGATTTCAGAATCTGAACTCATCGGCGCGACAGGGCGATCTGTGCCCGCCTGTTGACCAAAGGTTTGCGCCTAGGGAGCCGCTGCCCCAGACACCCAAACGAGCTGCAATATACGATTTCCTTTATGGTCTTTATGAACAGGCTGGAGAGAGGCTCCCAGATCTGCATCATTCCAGCTCCAACAAACGCCCACGACGAGGGGCCCTAAAGTTTGATGAGAAGACCATGGACCGAACACAGTTGCGATGGCTGCCCCCAGGCAAAATCATGGACTATTTGCGTTTGTGTCGACAAGAGTACCCGGACATGAACATCAGTTCCAAGCTCTTTGCCTCTGTGGGACCCACAGTCATTCCAAGTAATGACATGCAATGACTTTGTTCCTGCATGAGTATGTCATGTTTCTTGGTGAACCAGCGTTCGCCGACCTGCAGGTCTGGATGACAGACTTCCGAGACAGGCTTCGCATCCGAGCTGAGTCCCATCACTCTACTTGCACGACATGCGTCAAACACCGGTTAATCATCCGTCGGCTACCGCGTGGCCCAGGCCGCCTTGCCCAGGTTTCTCTCTACAAGGCCCATTTGGCCCGTCAGTACAGGGACCGACAAGTCTATTGGTCGCACAGATCAAAAAGTCGAACGGAAGCCACTTCGGGTGCACCAGTGACGCACTGTTCACTGATAGTAGACGGGATGGATCAAGCAAAACACTGCTATCCCAAAAGCCAGGCAGTTCAAGCAAAGGAATTTGCTTCCTGGAGCAGACCCAGGCTCCAGGCCACCACATGCATTGCCCATGGACATGCCATCGTTGTTGGGTTAAGCCCTCAAAACACAAAATCCAGCGGGTCCCGAACCTTGGAGTTGATTGCTTACATGATGACGAAGCCTCTGAACCACATTCACTGGTCCAATTGCTTCCTCCACCTGGAGGCCGACAACGCAACGAAGGAGATAAAGCATCAGACGTCCCTCAGGATGTTGGCGACCCTCATCGGTCTTCGCCGTCTTCGTGGCTGTGAGCTGAATTTCCTCAGCTCCGGCCACAGCCACGAAGACGTTGACGCTCACTTCAGCCTAACATCATCCTACTTGGACAGACATCCCGAACTGTGGTGCATCGAGGACTTCCGAAGCTGTTTGCAGCAGTTCCTGGCAAATCCATCCGTCAGAGTTCATGAACCCAAACGCGAAGTTATTGTGTTTGATTCCTTCCACGATTGGATCGTTGGCTGAACACATTCCAAGCTCTTTCCTTATGGTTGTTTGATGTTGTTTGTGTCTATACACTCCACAGTGACTGTGAAGTCCTGGTCATTTGTTTTTGGGGTTGACCGGGGTTGACTGTTGAGTGTGGTAACCGGTTCCTAGGAAAGCTCACTTCGCGTCTCATTTGCACAACGTCTACCTCCGCGGCATAGGCGGCGCGGGCGCGCCACATCTCTTTCGCTTAGAAAGGATTGCAGATGCAGGAAACCGGGGTTGTTAAAGACTGGTCATTTGCTGCCTCTTTGCTACTAGTCATTGACTCATTGACGCCTCTTGGGATCCCTGCATGTTTTCCAGGACTTCGGCACGAAGATCTGAGCACGAAGTTTTGGCGCAGACGGAGGGTGGCCTTCAGTCCTGGTGATGTCATCTTGAGGATTGGGTTTGACACAAACAACCAACCAAGAGAGGTCAAGAGGACACAAAACTGATTCAGACGGTAAGGGTCCTTACCGTCTGAATCAGTTTTGTGTCCTCTTGACTTCTCTTGGAAACAACCGTCCATCTTGCAATATGGTCTAAATTATGGTTAGCATCTCAACCATTGTAACTTTGTCAATCATTGAACCCATCCGCAGGACAAAAAGATTTTTGTCGAGTCCAGAATACCAGCAGCCAGCGTTCTTGTACTTGCCCGCCTGCGTGGCCATGGAAATGTCCACTGCTTCTCCTCCTCCAGGCGTGACGATACAAACTGATCGAGCCATGTTCAAATTTTCACTGCTGCCAGTCTATGAGCATGACCCAGTGAACACGGAGTGCGAGGAGAGTAAGGCATTGCGGAGATACGCCAGCATCCTTCGTAGAAACCCTAGTGTAAAATCTTTCTCTAGACATTGTAAACACAATCTGCGGGCCACATTCTGAAGTATTGGAAAGCCTGAGGCCAGCATCCTTTTAGTATGGAGAGTGCGGCTATACGCATTGATGACTTGGCAAACAATGTCATTGGTCGCTATCCCATCTTGGATGTCTCAATGCCTGACAACTTAGATTCATCAGCTCTAGCTCTGAAACTTACCAGACCTTTTTACTTCCTAGATTTATGTTTTAAGAGCACAATGCTGTCAATCAGGTGCATCCCCAATGGTGGCCTCGCAGTTGGCCCTGGCGTCCGCTATGAACCTCCAGCGCGAGGGCAGGACTTGGAAGCTGCCCCTCGAACTCACACCACATGCTTGGAAGCCCTTTTATGGTTAAAAGAGAACTGTTCCCATGACTCGGATTAGTTTTGAGGCTCCAAACCGGATGAACTTGATTGCTGAGAAGCCTGATGCGGCTGAGAGACGGAAATATAGAAACGCACGAATGAATGCAGCACTGTACCGGGCTGCGGCCCTTCTATGGTCAAAGGGGGTTGATATGGCAACAGCTATATCTGTGGTAGAATCGGCCATGCGAGATTCCGGTGAAGTCTGAGTCCATGGCAGGAACATGCAAAACTATTGGTGGGCTTCATGTCCAGTCCAGTACAGTCCAATGCTGTTGTTGATTTGACATTTCGAGCTTAAGACATCATCGGGATTTCTTTGGATTCGGGTGTGTTACTCCGTGGAAGCCAGGTGCGGGTCACAGCTAAAAGCAGTAACGTAAGGCCATAAGAAAACTGTGTGTTTCAAGTTTCCCAGTGTTTCTTACATGCGCCTTGCAAGCCACCTGTTTGGAGCAGAGCCCTGGGTCGAAATCCGGCCTTTTGTGAAGTCTGCTTTCCTTTTGGCGGGGCATCGGGTTCGCGTGGGAACGAAGGGCGGCTGTCTCAGTGAACACCCACAACTTGAACATGTACACATGTACTGTGTGGGTAGCTCGACACAGCATAAAGCATTTTGGTGGAATGTGCATACACTGATGTTCGTGCATGGGTTCTGTGCACAAAAGTCAGCCTCCAAACAAACACCTGGTCCGTGCTTGTTGACAATGTCATCCGGCATGAAACCTATCAGTGTAGGTCGTGTCGATATGGGAAAAGTTCAAAACAATTTTGGAATTCCAATATCGTTTCGTGGGGCAGGGTTCTCTGCTTGATGACATTGTCGATAAGCACACCTGGCCCTTTCCATTCCCAAGTGATTGTTGTGACTAGGGACTGTGACTTTTTACCTGGCATCAACCAGTAGAACTACCAAGTTTGTGAACTCTGGCAGGTGCCACCCGGCAGAAACTGTGCTTGGGGTAGCTGTTATCCGGCACAACCTGGTGTCCAACAATCAACATCCGGCACTAATGGGTTTTGAGGGACATGGGACCCGGCACAAAAAGTAATTGAACTAGATGGAATCCGGCACAAAGCGATGCCTTATTTTGGTTGAACAATGATCCAAAATCGGTGTCCCGATCATGGTCAACCCCACCAACACCCCACCAACCAGCACCCACAGTTCTGAGCCACCTCACATGCCAGGAAGGTGGCTTTGATGGCGCCGAAGCGGAGAACCTCGGGGGAGGGGGGAAGCAGCAAGGCGTCAAAGACTACAGATGCTAAGCTTCCTTCTATCCCGGCAGACTCTGCCAAACTGCCGCACATGAAACTCTTCAACGAGTACTTGCTTTTCAGCTTAAGAGTGCACGATTCTTTCTTCGCATGTTCATTGTGAACCATCAATGAGTTTGAAACTAATATGAGCATGTTTTGTCAAAGTCTTCCACTCAGGGACGTGTTGATCAAAGACCATGGAACCTTCGACGCATACCTGGCCAAGCAACTGGATACGAAGGCCAGCCGCTCAAGAAATGCCACTCTGGTCTGACAAGCGACGCTGCAGGAAAAGCGAATCGAGTTCTACCAGTATTTGGATGATTTCTTCCCACCCGATCCCAGCGAGCTGAGCCCTCAGAGAACAATCTCATTGACTTGGTGGTGCTGCAACAAGCTTAGGACATATGCTACTGAGAAGTCCTTTGCAGCACCAGGACCTCATGTTCTCAGGTGCTGGATGCTCCCGTATCGCACAGACTATGGATTGCGCGGCACATCAGACGTGGCCAATAGACTAAATTTGGTTTGTTTTGGGGTTTGGACAGCTGAAGTGTTTGGGGCATACAACCTATACCAAATTCCTGCCATATACGTTCATGCATCACTGCCATATGTTTATCGGTGCTCAGGATGTGCAAAGGTTGCTATCGCAACTAATCATGCTGAACGGGCTGTGCACAAATTCAGATGTGCCCGGTACAGAGAAGATGGTGGTCACTTCGTTGGATGATGGGTGGCTCAAAAGCCCAAGGAACTTTTTGTCTGTGAGCGACATTGGCGCACACAAAGGTCTCCTGCCTCCTGAGAGCGTCTTCATGGTCAAGGGCTGGAACAGAGGAGTCTGCGGAATCATTTGCATGCTGGCGGCCGTGGAGTGTGAGGATCTGCGGAAGGCCCGGCACTGGGAAGTGAGGCAGTGTCGGTCTTTTGATTCCTGTAACGCGAGGCTATGCCAGACAGTGTAACAAAGCTCCTAGCTCAGCTTGTTTTGAACACATCACAAGGCAGCCCTCTTATCCATTGTGCTCCAACAATTTGCTTGAGGTCATTTTCCAGCATCTATTGCACAAAGATCTCGCCAGACATTTCTGAAGCGATCAATTGTAATAGAGGAGCTCATTCTAGTTCACATGGTTTTGCCTGCTAAGCTCTCGCTAGAAGATATTTCGAATCTTATGTAGCAGGAGTGACATTGACAAGCACATCAATCAGGAGAAGGCCTAATGCGTTCAATCTCGTCCATCAAATGCAAGCGATGCAGCGGGGAGGGTACAGTGGTGAAACCGCATTGCAGAACTTACAGGCGCTTGTGAGCTTTTGTCTTTCAACCTTGTTGGCAGTTCTTGCAACTTTTCAACCTTTTCAATCAACCTTGACTAACCTTTTCAGGTGCTGAACAATGCAGCTTCATTTGCCGCTGCTTACCAAATTGGTCGCACAGAGGCTGGTGCAGCGACGAACCTTCTGACGGCGGTTTCGGAGAGCACCCGGGAGCAGTTGATGGAGCTAGTCAGGTGTGGTTTCAACTTCATACCATATTGGTTCGGTTTTAGTCAGATGTATTACAGTTACACTCATGTGCCTTTTTATACTTGCAGGATATTCGGCCAACCCAAATTTCTGCTACAGGACGGGCTGGCAGCGGGGATTTTCAACAGCGACTACAACGGTGGTACCGGGGTCTTCCACCAGTGGCAAAAGCTTTTGGGTAACTCGCAGGACCTTGTGGATACAATGATCAAACGCATGCGGCTGGACTTTGAGTCTCTGAACGCCAAGATGCGGAAGCCATGGAATCAAGTCACGCTTGACTCTTTTCTTTCAAAGCCAGGAATCAATATTGAAACATAACATCGGTGCTTGTTTAGGGTCCATCATGGCACCAGGCTGAGGAAAAGGGCTCAAGTATAAGATATGAGGTTGGGAGACATCACCCCTACCTACTATACTCGGCCCAGGAACAGCTTCAGCGAGTTTGCGGTGGCTATTGCGCAGCGATGGCCCGGTTCAAGGAGCTGGTTCCGAACAAATACTATGATGATGTGAATTCAGAGATCTGTGCAACGCTTCTTGTTGAAAGTTATCCATTGACAAATTTCAACCATCAAACATCATCAACAATCTTCAACCACTTCTTCAAGCATGATCGAACTCAGGTTTATGAATCGTCACACCGATGCCGATGTGTTGAGCATGCTGCAGAACTCAGTTCCCCCTATTGACATTGGGAGAATCGATGTGTTCAAGACCCACCTGGCAAAGTACCACCAGAAGGCACCACTTTAACGTTTCTTGCCTTCCTGCCTTCCTGTCTTCCCGCCTGCAGGTAGATGATGACAAAGCAACCAAAGCAGCGGAGCCTCTTGGCGAAAATCCGGCTCATTTCGTCACCATATTTGTGGGTCGCTCATATCAAAACATGTGCCCCAGTCTGACTTCAAAAAATGATTCATGTCTTTTACGGCTAACATATGCTTAAAGAACCTCATCACAAGCGGCTTTGCTCCAAACAACATGGTCTCAAACAGAACTGGGCATCGAGAAGGATCTCGCTGCTTTGTCACAGTGGGCTGCCAAATTTGAAGTCTTCGCATCGCAGCAGGCATGCAAACAATCCCAGCTTCAAAGAAGTTAGCAGTCCAATGGTTTGGGTGACTTTGTTTTCGTCCGGTTGTCCAACAAAAAATATCGCTTCTTTGCAGGGGGGGCTGGATGTCCAGTACCTGACATCCGGATACGATCGCGGCAAAGCGGCTGTGGCAAAGATCATGCAGGATCGCCATGCGTTTGTCGTCCACAGGCAAATCTCTCTTGCGCAAGGGGAGATAGTTGAGAAACAAGCTGCCTTGGGGAGATCAGCGTTTCTTAGTTGAAATGTGACTGTTACTTTAATCATTAGCTTCTTGGAAAGCTTGCTTGTAGTGAAGGTTGTTGATAATTACTGTAGTTAAGATTTTGTTGTGTCCGCTGAGATTGACCATTATGATCGTCGACTGCACCCTTTGGCCCGGACGAGCCTTGGCTGATTGCTTGCGTGAAATGTTTGGAGTCATTGCTGGACTTACTGGAGTCTTTGTTCTCTTCTCTGCTTTGTTTCGGAAACGGCGTAGCGCTTCCAGGTGCCATATCTGTGGACGAGAGCCTTGCCCTGGTTCAGGCCATTTGTGGAGGCAACAGCTCCACCTTGGGTTTCGTTCTGATGCCGCAGCCTCATTCCTCTGCAACGCATACCGCTATTTTGGCCCATCGTCGCGCAATCGAGAACACATGCATCGCGAAGCTTGACTGCAGTGAGTGAGTGCATGCAGTGCGTGTTTAGTGGGACTGTGGCACTGTGACCTGCTTAGAGTAGTCGTTCACTAAACTAAGAAACCATGGCCTCTAGGTCCTTCGACCTCCAGGAGATCAGCCTCGTTTACAATGAGAGCACTCACGGGGGCGACCGGCGAAAGACCAATCAACAATGTTGCCAAGCTTCCTTTAATTAAGGTCCCAGGTCCCACTGTTCGAGTATATTTTTCATGCTCTTGGTACATCTGCGCAAAGCATTTCTTCAGGCTTGGCGATTACATCGGGAAACCACAAGCACATCGAGTGGACCAAGAGCAAGATCATGTTGGGATCAATAACTGGAGTGGATAGGTCCCGAGTCAACGAACTCCAGAATCCGGAGGAAGATCGGCCATTAGCGCCGCATTGGCGGGTTCCTGGTCTCAATTATTATGAGTCCAACCAGAATCAAAAGCTTCGATCAAAAACCTTGGAAGTTTTTTTTGAATCAAAACTTTGGAAGTCTTTCGTCAGGTGCAACAGCGGGGCATCGATGCTAGCAAGGCTATCCTGAAGAAGCTTTTGGAAGGCTTGCAGTTGCCTGAGAATGCCCCCATCTTGGTGGTGGATTGCCTTCCCAACAGGCCTCTCAAGCTTGCTTCATCAGCGTTTGTATTGTTTTTATGTACCAGTGAAACCTTGAAGGAAGTATACCTTAGTTAAACAGCCAAACTTAACAATCATATCGATTTGCTGAAACATTTCAAGTCAAGGTTCGGTGAGTGGTCACAAGCTTGTGCCCAACTGCAGCTGGCGTATGTACTTGGCCAAGACAAGTCAGTGTCTTGGAACTACATGGGCATCGTCTTGGGTGATGATGCTGGGATCATGCATTCTTTGTCGTCAAAGACAGCTGGCCAGTTCATGGCAAACTGGTGGGATGTAAGTCAAGAAGCCGGCCCAAAACGGAGGTCACGGACTCCCTTCTCCGAGCCTGTTCCCACAATGGAGATCCTGGCAGTGGCCAATGGTCAGTGCAAGAAACTTCAACTTTGCGTATAACACTGTTTGTTTTGTTTTCTCCTTTGGTTGTAAGTTGGCTGTAAGCCGTCGTATGTCTTTAAGTGGGGGATATTGTGCCAATAGTCTCACTGAGGATTCCAGATTTGGTGAGGAATAAGTACGTGGCCACCCAGTCTGCTGCTGTGACCAAGATTGAGGACGCTATCGCCCGCAACAAAAACCTCAAGGTAGCTTTGCAGGGGACATTGGATGAGTCGGCTTCCACCCTACCATCCAGTTCTGGCGATGTTCCGGCTGATTCGGGATCAAGGACCCTGGCCAGCCCTGACTACAGTGGTGCGATCGATGTCCCAAATTTTTCCACCAGAGTGCATTTGGAGGAGAAACCCATGGATGAGTTCACAGCTGGTCGAACGATCCTTATCGCGTACCAAGAAATGTTTTGGTCTTTGTTCTTTGATCAATATTTGCTCTCATTGTTCTTTGTCTTTTTTAGAACTGGAATTCGTTCAACTATTTAGAAATATGTTGATGCTTTAGCTTGACATTGAGGATTCAATGCCAAGCGCAACTTCAAAACTCTGACTTGAACGTCGCGCGGGACAAGAATGATGGATCTTTGTGGTTGACCAACTCCGGCGACAGTGCTGCAGAACTGCAAGCCCGGGAGATACTTGGGTTCAACCTTGGGTCTTTTGCTGAGCTGACTTCAGGATCTCTGATGCTTTGAATGATTTTGTTTGTAACTATAAATGAAGGAATCGCAATTTAGTGAGAACCAATAAGACCAGCTTAAGCTTACAAATAAGTGAAAACTAAACACAGACTGGACAATGACCCCACTTAATCCCCAGCAAGCCGTGCAGGAGATGCTGCCACGGTTGCGGATGCAATTCCATGGTTGATCACCTCGGACTTGCAGGTGGTTTGCTTGGTGTCAGTGGATACCAATGGATTCTCAACCAAAGAGCTCATGACGGTGGCAGATGTTTGCTGCTGGATCACAAAAACTCGTGGGGTTACGGAAGCAGCTATGTTGGACCACGACATGGCACCGCTCACTGAGGAGCTGCTTTATTTTTTTATGTTCCCTCATGACACCCTCTATGTTCTAAGAAAAGCCTGATTTGACAGGTACTTGTGGAACTTGTGGCTGATGTTCTGTACCCTCTTGACAGGAGACACCACATGGCCGAACACCAAAAACATTCCGCTATAGTGTGACACCGCGAGCAAAAGTGAATTGCTTCAAGCCAAAGAAGCTGGAAGGTGACCCAGCAACTTCAAGATATTCCCAATTTGGTGCTATCTACAGCGATTTCAAGCAATTGACCAGTTCTTCCAGCCTCGGCATCGTTTGGGAGGTACCTTTGGGCAAACAGGAATGTAAAACAAACTTGGAACAATGTTCAACACTTGATCAACATCAACAGCCCAAACTTTCTTTCCCCTGAAGGTCAAAGTGGCAGATGGTGTTCCGGCTGTGATCACACCGCTAAAGCCGAAGTATTTCTTGAAAGGCGTTACCACGGTTGCAGCCAAAACGGCTGTGAAACTGTGAAATTGTAGGACATGGGACTCCAAGCCCCATCATGATGGTTTCAGCTTTTGTTTGGGGAGTGTGACTCTAAACCAGTGGATTGGTGTTACCAGTGTTACCATGTTCTGTTAACTTCAATCACATGGGTTGTCTCTGAATCACATGGTTGGTTCATTCAGTGTTCACATGTATTTCTAAGCTATGTGTTTGACCATGGTTGACCAACCTCCCGGTTGGGAGAGGCTACACTGGCTTGCGCTGGGCCGCCGAACCCATAGGATCAGGTTTGCCTGGAAACACCTGCGAAGTTGCTGGAAAGGCTTTTGCAGTTTGCTTCTTCACATGTTTGCAACGAGCATCGCATTATGATATGCCAGTTTGGTTACTTCACGTACAATAGCGCGCTATATATATATATATATATATAGCATCTCTGCAGATTAAATCAAGCATCGGTAGCCGATGGTAGCGTCGATTTACTTTGTGCTGTAGAGCTATGCCTTTAGAAGCAGTGGACGCTTTGTCTGATGATGACAAAGCTCGTGTACCTGCTCCTGATCCCCCAATCCCAGAGCCAGAGAAATCCAGCCCAAGCACTTCCAAGGGAAGAGGGAAGGGTCGAGGCAAAGGAGGTGGCGAAAGCAAACCGGAGGCGAAAGAAGTGCGAGAACCATCTTCCAAACCAAAGGCGAAATCAAAGGGGAAAGCGAAGGCAAAAGGCATGCCTAAACCAACAGGGGATTCCACAAAAGCGAAAGGTGAACCAAAGGTGAAGGCTTTGAAACGCCCAGCTGCCTCTTCCACGGCTGGCGCTCCACCCATGAAGCGGCCGGCAACCGACCCAGAGAGGGTGTCTGCGTCCAAAGGATTGTACAAAAATGGTGTTTGGGGGATCAAACTGAACCAGAAGGAAGTCATCCGTGTAACTTGATGCAATTATGTTTGCTCTGTTGATCTCTGTTGCCTTCAAACAAACATGTGCTTTGATTTCATCAATGAACGTCGTGAAAGTCTGAAAGTCTGTGTGATTTTTTGAATATCCACAGCAACCACATCTGTCGCATCTGTCCATCTCTCCAGGTAAAGCCCCATCCCGATATCAGCGAGGCAGACTTGGCTGAGATCGCAGTTTCTTGCACAAGAAATTTCAGGTCTAGTCGAACTAGTAGCGGTAGCGCTTACTTTCAAATCCAAACAAATCTTATGAATGAATCATCGACTCTGACATCAATTAAGGCTGCGGTCAAAGAAGAGTTGATCCGGACCAAAGGGGATTTGGCGGCAAGCAAAGCCTTGCATGTATTCTGAATGCATTTAGTGTCCATTGAAACAACACATGTAGTTACATCTTATAGTTTCCACTGAAGATTTCTTTTCTTGTGCTAAAGAAACACTGCACCGGGTTTTGATCCGATGCTCGATCAGGAATCTATGCTCAATGCTGCCAAGTTGAAGGCTGTTCCCGCTCGCAAGGTTGAGGCCCCGGCTTTGCAGGAAGAGGCCTGTGAGGGGGAGCCCATGGTGGAGGGTGAGGAGGAAGAGAACTTGGAGCACGATGCTGTGGAGGCTTGGGTTGGGGGTCTAGACAAAAACCATGTATGCCGTTCTTTTGGTGTGGCGGTTCACTTCATGTTCATGTGTGGCTTTGCTTTCGGTCTCTTGTGAAATCTCCAGGACATTGACTGAATGATCCTGGCCTTTTTGCTTCCAGCAATGCGTTGGAGATTGTGCCTGAGCCGGCCACCAGAAATTTACTTGAAGTTTTCGTAAAGACCTTGGAGAGCTCTTTCACAAAGGGTGGCTGGCTGAACTCGTTCTGAACTGTTTCAAACTCATGCCTGATTGATGAGCATACCCTGTGCAATTTTGACCCCATAGTTCCTAAATCTATAAATGATACTAAAAAAATATGTATATTATGATTCGCCCATGACAGATTCTTCTGATAGCTGGCCCAACTGGGACCAACCATTTCGTTATAGTTCATTGAACAGAAACCGCTTAGGGTTGCCATCGCTCGTTTTCCCCAGTGTGAGTGTGAGTGGTTGAATCGTCCACGGCAACATCGGCGCCAAGCGTAAGAGAAAAGCCAGTTGCGCAAGCACTTGGAACACTTCGCGCAGTTCGGAACCTCGCCAACCCCAATCTTGGACCCAGGCTCGAAACCAACCCGTGAGCAGGCCAGGGGGCTCAGAGAGCTACCAACAGAGGGGGTGCAGTGCAGAGGGCCGAGGGGCGCAGTGCAGAGAGGGTACATAGAACGATACACAAGGGGTGTGGAAGCACCGCGCGGGTATTCTTGAACATAGATGTATATAACGTAATAGACATTCAAGTGTGCATAGGTTTGATGTGACATCTGTGACTACATCAAAAACTGTATACTTATGATAGTTCATGTTGCAACCCGAATCACTTAGATTCACCTATCCTTTAGTTAGCACCGTCCCAGCGTTGATCAACATTGTTACTACTTTCCATGGTTGCGTCGTGTTTGGTGCTAGTGGAACCCAACAGAGCTTCCAACTTTGTGGGTTTCAGTCTACTTGGATTATTCCAACTTTTTTTCCTCGAGCTTGATCACTCCCAACATAAACTTTTGCATTTCCACACTTGGGTCCCCGGCTAGAGGCCAAGAAGTTGGCCATCACGGGTTGGCAGGGCAGCGGGTGGCCGGCCAGCGTGGGTGTGGGGGACGGGGGTAAAACGCGTGGGGGGACTCTGTGGTGGTACCCTTGTAAGAATAAGAATATATCAGAGACTAACTATTTACTAACAATATCTATTATCAAATTTTACCAGATCACTTGTTAGGAGTGATTTGGTTTAAAATTTGATCGGCGGAAGTTTCAAACATTTTCAAACTATAGGAACGTGATGTAGATCGGTGATGGAATCTATGATGGCTTCTCGCATCACTACAGCCACGCATGCTAAAGGCTTTGCTAGCTGCTAAGTTGCTAAGTTGGCTGCCAACTTGCTAAAACCCTGGTTGCATAGCAAAACCCTGGAAGCAAGGGACCAAGAATTGATTTAAATTGGATTGATCGATAATTGAAAAAAGCATCGCATTGGCTCGACGTACATACTCCCGTTGACTTGGCCAACCCAGGGCGGTCTCAGCACTCCGTCCGGACGTAGGACTGTTCAAGTACACGAAAGAGCTGCATGGCGGCCCAGCCGATATGAACGCGTTTTCGCGGCATCGGAGTGTCAGGAGGACTGCTCGGAGAAATCCAGGACTTAGTGCAAAGAACACTTTCACCCATGTTCGACTGGTTCTAGGCTGTTATATTATTCTATAAATCAATGAGCTTCAGACACAGTGAGAATGTCCCCCTCTGGTCCCTGTAGGGAAATATCATAGGCGGTCCTGAACGAACAGGCGTGCAGTTCGATCGAACAAAAATCGATTGCCAGCAGCTAGGGCCAAAACGATGTCATTCCCTCGCTACCTCGTTGATTTTGGATATTGATTGGAAAGGAAAGTTCAATCCATTATTCATATGATATTTTTTGAGGTTCTGGCAGAATCCATTCTTGACGGACTGCATACCAGCGAACAGATCCAAGCTGTCCAGGTCCTTACCCAAAAAGTACCCTGCATGCATGCATGGATCCAGTATACCAGGACTTGGGCCCCTCACCCGCACTCCATCCGGTCTCGATTGTACGACAAAGTCCACACAGTGCAGCCTGGGGCAATATTTTTGGATGGTGGGACGGGGAACGAAAGTCTGCCCAGGTTTGGATCACATGGAATTGACTGACGTTCCCTTCCGAGAAGCAACAAAGCTGGGGCTCCAAGTGCGAAGAGGAGTAGAGCTTCCCTCGAGGTCAGGCGAATAGGCATGCTCTTTTTTGGCATGGTGGACAACCCTCACCTGAACACGTGAAGTAACACAGCTGGCCTGGAAACGACAAAATGCTGCGGGAGTGGGCCCAATGCACATATTATAACATAAGATCAAACATGATCAACCAATGTGCAAAATAATGCAGATAGCACGCATTCAAAGTTAACAATTCATTTTTGAGCCATTGTCAAACTGCGCCCCATCGCAGTGATCTTTGTCATCGAAAGCAAGTGTCCGATGTGATCTGACACTTCGGACTGAACTAATGCTTCAAAAAGGTCAATCAAGGCACTTTGACTTCCGGTGTTGCACAAACCTGCCTAGGACCTAGCTGGATTTCACTATACCATGCCTCGACTGAGCTGGGCCACGGACTCAGCTCTCAAGGGGAGCCGGAGTAGCCGGGTAGGTTTTCTCCCAGCCGGCCAAATATTTGGCATAGACCCACCTCAGCAAGGTGAAGAATTGTATATATATATATATAGAGATTCGGTATATTAATTTCACGGGTCATCATCAACAAGAAAATATGATCATATTATATATTACAATATATAAACGCTCAATTCGATCGATCGATCTAGGAATCCAGACGATTCTTTGGGACCTCCGTACTTCATCCATCCAAGTGATAGTCCTTCCTGGTTGTTGGCCTGGACTGAAACTGACCAAACAGACCATCTCATAATAAAATTAGTTCACTCGATCGCACTGTATTCTAAACCATATGTGAGCCTTGAAGGAAGTTTCCAAATGCTTGTTCACTTCCATCACCACTTCCTTCCAGATGTTTTTGCTTTTTACATGCATTTCTTTGTATAATTAGTGTGAACAGACTGCGTGCATGGATTCCAGCTCCTCTCGCGTCTTAAAGACATAGAAGCTCCGGCTTGCAAACCTTGGCGCAGTTGAACTTAATTATGCATGCTGCATGCTATAATAATGTTCATGCATAGTATGTGTATTAGGCTCCAGCAAGACTTGGATGGTCGCAAGTTTTCCATCCACGGGATCAGGGAGGTTCTCTGGCGGCTTGAGCGAAGTGGACCTATGCAATGAGATATTAATTATGACCAATGCACACGTTCGAAAGACACAAAGCTAGTTTTGAGGCCACTACTTCTTACCGCGAACGCAGTCCATGGGAACGTCAATCAAGTCCTCGCGCAGCACCGCTTCCATCTCTGCAATCGCAGCTTCCTGGATCAGATATATGTGTTTAATTTTGTGAGTGCACACACGGAAATGCACATTATAAGAATAGAAGAGCCCTATTGATAAAACCTCATCATGCATATAAACCCCTCATCGATCTGCATTGCTGACTAGATGCAATGTTTTTGGCATCAGCTTCAGGATCCTTTTGAGCCCTGCTTCGAGACTGTCGAGCCTTAGGCTTCGCCTCCGGCTTTGATGGCATTGATCCAGATCCGTGCTCATCAGCCACCTCCTCAAAAGCATCATCCAGCTTCCTTCGAGCCGGATCATTTTTCTTGCCACCAGAAGCCGAAGGCTTGCATTGCTGAGTGTTCATGCGACGCAAACGGTCTCGAATGACAATGGGTGACTTCCAAGGACTTTTCTTTGGGCTGTTCGATTTCAGGACTTCTTTCTTCGCGTTGCTGGTTTCTCTTCTTGGCTTTGCTTTTTTGTCCAATTCATCCTTTTTATTTGGCTTCTCGTTCTTTACCTCAGCTTCATTCTTCTTGCTCTTCTTTGCTTTCTGTGCATCATCTGTTGAAGCTTTCCTCCTCCTGCTGCTTTCTTTGGTTTCACTGTCTTTGTCTTTCTTTTCATCTTGACGCTCAGTCTTGCCGCTGTCGTCACCATGGCCTTCCGGATCAACCAGTTCAGGCTCGTCTGTTTTTTTCTTTTGTCCACGTCCCCGTCCTCGTCCGCGTCCTTTGCCGCGACCTTTGTTTTTCTTCTTTTCATCATCTGATTCCTGCTGTTCCCGTAGAAATTTGTCTTCATCCTCAACTTCTGCCTCCTCCTCCTCCCTCAAAGCTTTCATCACTTTTCTTTGGGCCTTGCGTAATCGACAAAAAGTGGTTGCACCAAGTTCTTAAATTCTGATCTGCACTGAAATTATCAATAGATGTGCATTAGATGGACGCAGCAGGCAAAAGGAATGGGTCACTCCGAGCCTGAACAATGTTGCTGTCAGTGGCTTTGCGCTTCAAAATGTCATCAACCTTCTGCTCCACTGCTTCCTTCACATTAGGGACGTGCTTAGGCTCCTCCACAAGTGATCCTCTCTCCTGACAGATCTTGTTTTAAAAGTATGATCTTTGCGTCCTAACTTGATATCTACTAACAGTTAGGATCCCGGATGCTCCTGAATTGCTCCTGTCTTTTTGGCATCCTCTTCGTCCTCACTGCAAATGTTGATTGTACCGTCTTCCTCTTTCTTGACCTCGCCTTCAGTCACAGCATCTTCCTTACGTTCTTGTTCTTTCTCTTCCTCGTCCATGCTTGACTTCGATGCCTTCAAAGGCATTGCCTTCCTCAATTCTTGTTTTGTTTCTTCCACAACTTCTTCCACATATTGGGAATCATGAGGAGCTTCCACACCCTGCACGCTTTGACTTGGCACAGGCTCCCAGGCAAGTTGCGAATCCTGGAACTCCAACTGGGTGTCTGCATCGTCAGGATGGATCAAAGGATTTTTTTTGCAATTGATGGTGCACCAGCTGGAGTAGGCTCTCGCGTTTCTTCTTCTCGTTGAACTTCAGCCAATTCTTTTTCATTCAAAGCCTCTCCATCCAACACCTTGTCATCCTCCAAAGCTTCCTCTTCTGCATTTTCTCCCTTTGGTTCCTCCTTATCGTTTCCATCTTCTGCACCTTCTCCCTTTGGTTCCTCCTCCTCAGGGACATCACCATCTTTTCCATCTTCTGCACCTTCTCCCTTTGGTTCCTCCTCATCAGGGACATCACCATCTTCTCCATCTTCTGCACCTTCTCCCTTTGGTTCCTCCCCATCGACATCACCATCTGTTCCATCTTTTGGTTCCTCCTCATCATCATGTGGGTCTCCTCTCCAGCAGATACAACACGATATTATCTTTACATATCATTGCTGATCATATGATTTATATATCAATAAAATCGATCGATAGACAAACATGAAGCCTCGAGGTGCAGCAGTTGCTTCCGGAGATTCAGGCATAGGTTCAAAAACCTGTGCATGCTGAATGCCGGCTGTCAATTAATATGGATTTACTTTTAAAGTCTTCTCCATGGAACATAACTTTAAACCTGCCTGGGAAGCACTGCGGCCACGAGAGGGGCGTTTCTTTCCATCCACGGTCAAAAGTCCAGCCGCCTGATCGATCATGTTTTCAATTTAAATTCTATTGACATAAGACGCGCCTTCAGCTTAGACTTAATGATAGCCTTCAGGGCTGCCATATGTGGTCGTCCGGGCCTCAACCCAAACAAAAATATATGTCTAATCGTAGCATTGCATATCTTTAGGAACACGGCCTGGCTTCCCGGTTGGCTTGAAAGCGAACCATGACGTACTGAAAGAATGCCCTTTGGAGTCCTGATTCACCCTCAGCCCAAGCCTCAGCAAAAGCAATATCGAGATCGAGTTCACACATACTATGGGGGGTTTGCATGTTAGCTGAGCACGTTGCCATATGTTCTTCCTTCGTTCGCAATACTGGATTCAGGTTGAACTGTTTGGACGCCCATTGCAGGGCCTCCTGGCAAAGTTAACTTGTACAAAAAAAACGATTTCGAATTCAATGACTTCGATCAAACACACCAATGCTCCTTAAGTTCTGAATCTACTGGAAGCTGATCGCCAAATTGCGCAAAAAAATCCAGGAGATACTCTCCATTGTCATCCTCTTCCACCTGTTTGTGCCAAAGTATGTTTTCACATATATCATATAAGTTTAGCAACGTGTACATACAAGAAGTCAATGCTGGCACCTCATGTTCCTTGATAGCTTCTGTATCGAATCTGCTCAGGATCTCGAAGGGTGCCACCTAGAGTTCAAAGTCTGGGCCACATGAATGTACTAGCTAGTGCACATACCTTCCACCGATGCATTCACATATGCATACACGTATTAAACAAGCCAAGTGTGCACGTTTACGTCCTCTGCACTCCAAGCGTGAATCCAGAACCTTCTTCCTCGCTGCCACATACCCCGGCGTAAGGCAAAGTTCACGGAACAAGGTCTGCCAAGAGTAGCGATCAAAAGAGAATATCATAACGCGTAGTACAGCACATGCACACCAACATGAATACATCCAAACCACATCCCAGCCCCAGTTGTGCAAGTGCAACAGCATTTGAGGTCCTTGAGAAGAGAGACTTGCTGCGCTGTAGTGCGCATGGCGTGAAAAGTGCAGCGGGCAGAGAAGCTGCTGGGTCCCACCTAAATTTTCCTTGAACAATTGCACAGGTCAGGGCAAGTGCAATTACCTTTTCAAAGCAAGCTCGATCATGTGTGTATACCACGGCCCAAACCCTTGTTAAGATCATCCCTCAACAATTTTTATCTGAGCTTGCAAGAAAGGGTGGGCTGACCTGAGCGTGGCCTTTCATCATGGGCATACTTGTTCTCCAGCTCTTGCAGCATTCCTGGGCCAACGGAGTTAATATATATTATTTGATGTTGAAGGGCTGGATCTTGAACATGTTAAGGGTCTAGCGTTTGCGAAGAGCAGTCTTGATCTTCATCTCTGTGCAGAAGCCACCTCTTACCTGAGATGGCAATGATTGGACAGTCACAATCCTAGATTCAATGGGTGTTTTCCTTTCTTCTTCATTAGGTTGAGCTGAAGGGCCGTGTAAGAACATCATAAGGAGGCAGCCATGGGTGCACCAAGCACATGTGCTCGATCAAGAGCTTGGAGTTATATGGAGTTATATTATGAGTTCAAACATGGTCCTATGTCCAAGTTATTTATGTTCCATAGCTCTAATTGGGCATATGTGTGTGTGATCTGAGCCTGAACGGTGCACAGACCATGAGCAAGCATCAAAGACACCTCAGCCGACAAGGCGAAATCACGGTTTCCCTATAAATAACGTCGGTTTCTCAACCTACATTTAAATAATGTAGGAAGACTTCCAGGGTATAATTATTACTTGGCCATGTAGTCACAATTGTCTCTACTATTGTACTATTGGACCGAATCCGGATCCAGCAATTCTGGCAAAAGACGGCGATCAATCTCGGCGCGGATCGGGGCCTTCCGGTCACAGGGCTCGAAGTCGATCGAGGTAACGATGCCTTCACCAGTGGCATGCTCCAGCCGGGCGCCACCGATGCCGAGAAGCGCCGCCTGGCGCGGGCACCGATGGGGGGACCCGCAGGTGGCCTCTGTGAGGTTGTTAGTTTGAACCGGGTCGAAGGGTCATAATAATGCCATACATATGTGCGGTGCGTGTGTCTTTGTTTGATGTTGGGTTTGTTCCGGAGTTCTTTTGGGTTCCAGAAGATCTTTATATCTATAGGCAAGCTAAGCCTTGGGAATCATGGTGTTTCATCCCAAGAAGCGGATCATTGGAACCAAGTGGCCAGCTGGTTTCCGATTAAAGCAAGGAAGACCGCCATGAACATTGACCATTCCAGCTTCTTCAGTTCGTGACCTTTTTGGAGTCCCTGTTTGTCACCTTTTGTAGGTTTAATTTATCTATAAGGTTTCTCATTCTATATGTGACCTCAAACCGATGAAAAGATCACCTTGAAACACCAGGTCGACTTCCATTCAAATTGCTTCCGTGCAATTTGATGGTGCTCTTTCCTAACCCCGATGGCCTTTCCGCTCTCGGTGCAGTCTTGGCCGCTCCCACAGGCAGCTGCATCGGACAGCTTCAACTGGGCGCATCCGGAGTTTCCACGCGAACTCTTTGAGACCCAAGGGGGTGAGGAATGAGGCGAGAACGCCGCACCGCTAGCGGAGAAGATACAAAGAATACCAATGGTTTTGTTGGGCTAGCTCGGACCGTTTCGGGTGCGGGGGGGGGGGGCTAGAGGGTGCATGTGCATGCCCATCTTGAGATGAATGACATTTCTGACCTTGTAAGGGATTGGTAAGTCCGAGGAGTTTAAAACGCCCATACAGTGGCGTAGATTATACCCGAAGGGGTAACAAAAAGAGGTATCGAGGTGCAATGTGAGGCTCTAAGGCATGCAGACCCATACAGTAGATGCTGGGTAGGGTTCAAAACAAAACCATTTGTTTGAACACAATTCAGGAGTCGCTCCCTCCAAATCTGTCGTTCCCCTGGCGCGTGAGAAGCGAGAACAATCCGGAGCTGGTCGAATCCCAGCTTGGGTCTGTCTCCTCACTGACCTGTTTCCAGGACCCTGAAGACCAAGAACATCACGACTTTTTGAGCCAAGGCCTAGACAAACTGAAGCATCATCCGAGGCCCAAGTCATGGGCTCAGACCCCACCGTCGCACTCGATCCTCCGCTCGATCGAATCCAACTCAGTCGGTCAGTCCGGGCGACGTGGAGCCCCCCAAACCACCCCCCTATGCGAGATGGCGCCCTATCGAGTGTTTTGGAGTGGAGAGCAGCTGATCACCCAGCTCTGACTATCACAAGCAATGGAAAAAATGCAGCTGATCACCTTCGTTTTTTTGATGTTTTATGATTTTCTATTTTATTGGCTTCCACTCACTCAAATGGCCACAGATGGAAAGATCGCATACACCGAGCTTTGACTGGCCACCAGCCGATCTGAAGTCCTTTCTCGGAGCCCCGAAATCCCAAGTCACTTGAACCCAGCGCGGCCCTTTATCGTCCCGTTTTCGGAAACAGGAGCTGGGCAGAGAGCCGCGCTGCGCGCTTTTCATCGCCCCGTGGGTTCTCCCACGGCAGACTCGACAGACATCCAGCCGAACGGCGGGTGCGGGCGAAAAGGAAGGCGGGCGAAGGTCTGTGGAAAACGTCAGGGCAGAGAATCATTCTAATTTTGAACACTGGGCCTTTGCCAGTTCCTGACACTTCGCAAGCTGGGTTCCAGCTTGATCCTTGAC